AATTTAATGACAAAGGCTTTGTCAGCGACTAAACTTGGAGATCTCCGCGCGCTTTGCGGTCCCGTAGACGATGTACAGCAGTGTTGGGAACAAGGTAAGTCTTTACCTAAGTAAACCAGGAGGAGTTATGAGACTCCCACCATTTGCATAATTACATAGCTAAAAGCAGAATACATTCACTTGAAAAGTAACCTTCAAACCACCAGGTCCTTCCTTCCTATCTGTCATTTACAGCATTTTGCGCAGAAGTAGCGTATCGGGCCACCGATTTAGTTCAACAGTCACCTCGAAGGAACTGCTGCGTCTGACCTCACAGTATTCGAGGTCCGTGCGGAGTACGATGCGAAAGAATCTGCGACGCCAGGCTCATCAATCGAAGCGTTTGGGTCATCAGAGAATAACGTACTTATTGTGGTTGTTCCTGATGCCGACGACGGGGATGAAGGTAAGATATCTCTTCTTTGCGCATATTCTTATCGATAACTTCTTATGGTGAAGGCAGATACTTCATCAGAGTACATGCCAATTTATCTCTCATTTCTACCGTACTTAATGTCGTCATCAAAATCTTCTTGGAGAATATCCAGCAGATGAAAAGGATGTTTAAGTACTGGTGATCACGTGTGGGGGTATGCTACTTGATTGGCATTTATTTAGTAAAGCAATCCTGGACGTGTGGAAAATAGCTATTGAACACGATCGATGGAGCATACCACACTTCTATCCGTATCAAAGAACCAGAAGACACGGTGTATGAGACGCGCAAGCTCTTTAAAATGATCATAATTAAGTCTTTCACAGTTAGGTAACTTTATTTAATAATGATACCCCGAGTTAATGACCTTAATGACCCAATCAATATTCGAATATGAACAATAATATTCTCAAGCAAATTCATACCAGAGCATACCTACCTCAGGAAATACCGGTATGTGACTGTAAGACAAAAAGCACGCCGTCAGAATAAATTCCTTCTTGCATTTATGCTTTGCTTTATAAGGGAGTAAATTTTCAAAAAAAAATTTACTCCCTTATACCCTTTGCGGCGGGGCCACCGTAGCTCTTTCGCGTAGTGGAAGCTAAGCTAACCTCAGTGACCTTTGTTCTATACTTAGAACCAGTACGAGTGTAGCGGATCGCAATCCGCAACATGAGAGTTACCACAACCTTAACTTAAGGCAAATAAACCCTTCCGTTCAAGATGTAAACTGGATTTCTTGGTTTAATTTGCGGCCAAGCCGCCTATATCTCAATCTATGGGTTTTCCTATTTTAATTAAAATGCATAACTACTGGCTGTCCAACTACGTACTGACTTTTATTAAGGTATAGCCACTCCATTGTCTGTTTACACCGTCTTGTGTAACCCACGACCTGATGGTCCACCATCTTGTGTGACCCACCCCATCATACTAGGGTACTTTTAACCCTTGTTACAGCATTAATCGGTTTTATTTGCGGCAAAGCCGCGTATATCTAAATATATAGGTTTTCCTATAGTACACTTTAAATGTATAACTACTGGCTGTTCCAGCCACTTGCTGACTTCTTGTTTAAATGTATACACACCATTGTTTGATCACACCATCTTGTCTAAACCACACCATAATGTAATCAAACCATCTTGTGTGATCCACACCCTTCAAACCAGGGAACGTGAAATCCCGTGGTAGAAAAGGCAAGAAACATGCTGCACTCCAAGGGGGTATCAGCCGAATGGTGGGCGGAGGCAGTGAAGACAGCAGTCTACGTGATCAAAAGGAACACGAATAGTGCTCACCCGGACATAACGTTATACGAGACAATCAAGCCCACCCTTAAATCACATGACCACCTGCGCGTGTTCGGATCCCCACGGATGCGCATATAGATGGTGCCAAGTGAGCGATAATGGAGGCACAGAGATTTCGGTGCTTGCTTTTCGGGTACGTCGAAAATACCATGAGCTACAGGGTGCTCGACATGAAGTCGTATAAGATTAAAGTGGTAAGGTCTCTTAAACTTGACGAGCTTGAAATAAGACACTAAAGAGACGCACGGCCTGATTGTGATCAATGCAGAGAGCGATGGCAAAATCTGCTTGGACAGTGACGACCCGAAGCCTCACTACCATCAAACAACACCCATGGTCGACGAGCCAATGTTGCCAGCTGAGGAGCACAACGAAGACATCGTGATGTGTGAGGTTGATGTCGGTCCACCATCACTCGGTATGAAACTTCGATATTAAGTGAAGCGAGCAAACAGGCAAAGTGTGAGAATATGGCGTGTCTCCGCAAATTGAGCGAAGACTCCGGCAACGCAATTCGATCATGCGGGTGGGTAATAGCAATACGAACCCCGGCTCGACAGGTCCCAACTCGACTTTTGCTGAAGCTATTCATGAGGACGAGAACAGTGACCCTAACAATGACGACCACTTCTGTCCTCCATCGCCTAAATGAACTCGCATGGATTAAGACGGTCTGATTGCTGAAGCAGTGTTAGCCTATGCTGCAAACGTCAGGAAACGGATGACGCTCCAACCACGAATCAGCAGGACATGACACATGACAAGTCAAGATGCGCCGAAATGAATAAAAGCGCGCGAGTTCAATGTAGCATGGACCTTGGTGTCAAGAAAGCGTATATGCGCCAAATTGGTTGTAGGCGGGACTTTGTAAAGAGGCGAGATGAGGGAGGGCAAGTGGGAAGGTATGAAGCTCAGCTTGCAGCTAGGGGCTTTAAACAAAAAGTTTAACGTGAATCATCATCAAAACTTACTCGCCGGTGGCCAACATGAATTCAATTCGGATGGTGTTTATTTGTGACTAGGTAATATGTAGCCGAACAGTGAGATGCCCAGAGACGGTGCCACTCAACCGCGCCTCCAGCGCCTGAGCAAACAGCTGCCTTCCTTCCACTGTTGAGCGTCGAGCATAATTGATGGACGCCCCGGAATGGAAAAGAATCTTTCATGGCTTCTCAAAGTCCTTCACGGTAGCGTTCACGACCAGCACACCCGGCTGCCATTCACATTCAGTATTCAAGAGCACGGATCTTTTCGGGGATGAGCCTTGCTGCTCTCTATCTCTTTGAGGCTCAACGGAAATCAGGTCTTCCCCAGTAGGGCACCCAGCGCTTACTTCGTGTTATCGTTTCCCTGTGATGTGCCAGAATACTGATGAGAAGTGGGACGTCGGTTCGATGAGCCTTGACGCGCATTGCGTAGGGTATCTCCACAGATAAAATCAGTCGGGTGTTGGAACGCTTCCCCACCCTTTCTAAGATCTATTGGCTCAGGCCCACCCGACGAGCTATTAGGGTGTGCATTCTTACCAAGTCGTGCCGACTTAAAGCTGAGTCTGGCATTCAATGCCACACTCAAAAAGAAGACGGATGCACACTGTTGACTTCCATTCTGGCCACGCCAGCACGGAGGCCATCTCGGCCTCTCTGACACAGAGCAGGAGAAACTCTCCAACTTTACCCTCGAACGTCTTAACGCTTACCATGAGCAGCCTGGGTCGGGACGAGTCATCCGCCGTTGGCAGTGGCTTCATGGACGCAGTCGACGGTGACATTTTCAGCTCTAGGCGCTCGAACAGAGCATTCTAATAATTTCAACACGCCTTCAGGCGCGCGCTGATCACTCCAGGGCCTTGTGAAGCGAGGTACTGCACCCTCACGGGCAAGCAGAGTTGTCACCTACTTGAGATTGTCTTCCATGCCCTTGAAAAAATAGGAAAATTACTCCATCCTCATAGATGATCAGTCGTAACGTCTCAGGTTTAGATTGACTACTCGTGCTGCTGCCGTAGCTCTTTGCCTAGAGGAAGCTAAGCTAAGGTCATCGACCTTTCAAAAGTAACGAAAAGCTGTAGCCATGGCTTTTGCTTCTAATACATGGTGATATTCTTTGTCCAAGAGTGGCGCTGAATTGAAACGTGAACTGTTCTCAGCTCCCTGGTGCGCACGTGCGTGATCGAGCCGAGTCGGTCAAGTCTACGTTCTATAATAAATCAGTATGAGTGTAGCGGATCGCAATCGCTTACTCCAAACATCAAGAACCCAAGCCAAATAAACTCTTCTGTTCGAAGTGTAAACTGTTTCTTTTTGTTTTATATGTAGCTGAGCCGCCTGTATTTAACTTTAAATGTTTTCATAATTATAAAAAAAACTGATTAAAATGCATAACTACTGGCAGTCCCGCCACGTAGTGGCTTGTTGTTAAAGTGTAGCCTTATCATTGTGTGGTCACACCATCTTGTCTGTCCAACTCCTTCATACCAGGGTATGTCTAACCCCATTGCAAAGTACCTCCTGCTCGGTGAACGCCATATTTTGGTAGCTTTACATGTTTAAGTAAGTAAGAACAAATGAGCGCACGTGTAAAACGTCTCAGCGAGCTAAGCTCTACCCGCATGCAGCGACACCTTTGTGAGCCTGCCGATTTTGGCAGAGTGCTGGCTGTCACATAAGTGTAGACGTTTGAGAGACGCGTCTGGTAATACCGTTATTGTAGGCTTGTGGACAGTCTGAGTAAGACAGCTCTTCTCGCGGCTGTCAGTAATACGGTTACGAGCGAGAATACAGTCACGCCGTTCTCTAAAACTTGTTTCATCAACAATAGCTTGTCAGCAGCCATTGTATCGGATAAAGATTTGTGTCTTACGGCAAAGTTTGGGCAAGCATTGGCCAATATGCTCGGCACCAGATTGGAAATGTCAGCCGATAAACATTCGCAAGCAATTAATGAGGCGAAATGCGTTATTCGTGATGTAAATAATATATTTAGCAGCACTCGCGCGGGTAGATAGCTATCATCGAGTTTTTATTGAGTCACGCAGTACATGCCTGTGCAGGCTTTATCCAATTTACACGAATTGTTTAGTGAATCGTCGGGTGCTTTTAGAATCATCCTTAAATGGATTCAGACCTTGTAGGGCGAAGCCGTCAATCATAATCAACTTGTCCCGCTACACTTTGTAGCAAGATTAGCGGTTATATATATATCAACAAGAACGATGGTCACAAGCAGGATGCGCGAAAGCCAAGATATTTAAGGCATCACGTCGATGCCAGAGGTGGGTGGAACAAGCATGCATGTGTTCTGGGATCAAACATCTAATTTGAATGCAATCAACATACATATACATGCAGTGTCTGCAGTCTATAAGACTAAGGTGTGTTAGCATTACATCGGACGATTCACGATCGCAGCGAGATTGAAACTGAGGTATACTATGAATATCTCAAAATGGATTGTGAGCACATCCAGAGTTCGTTAAAATTATATCGCATTGCCACACCTAACGATACAGTTGGGCTTGAAGATCTCTGATGCTGATGAGACAACTTATCTATCAGATCTGTCGTCAGGCTACCCTCGTCTTTAAGCTGCAGCGCATTAGTAAGCATTAGAGGCTGCCTAAAGCCACGCAAAACGATGGCGAAGCTCGAAGATCAAATAGAGCTCGGGCTCGCCCCAGCTTCGGAAGACAACTGACGCTCCGTCATAATCGAAAAGACTCACAAGAGCCAGCCATGGAGGGTATAGTAATGTCGGCACTGCTCGATGAGCAAGGCATGAACCACTTTAACGTGGAACGCCTGGCGGATTCATCAGAAATGATGATGCCAATAGTTAGTGAAATAAAACGGTTGGCCGCAGGCTTAAAACCCGCTGGGGTTTGAGGTTCAAAATCAGCAAATTTGTGCGGATGATTGCTCTTTGTATATCTCAGCATCTGTGTTTAAGGCCACGTACGACAAATCACGCACATGACCTGTATATTCCATGATGGATCATCAGGCCCACCCGTTGTTGCGCACTTTCCACTAGTGTGATGTGGCTGACCTATATATGAAATGTAAAAACGAAAACTCGAGGTGATTGGCTGTCACATTGACGTCGGAGTCGTGCTTCATACATGGCTGAGTCGAGTATGGTCGATATACTTGTCAGACGTCTGCTTTGTTGAAGTTGGCTTGGAAACTCAAGATGCGCGAAATAACGTGTTTTCCTGATTAAGTGGACAAACGGTGCTTGAGGAAATTTGCAACGCTTGGATGTTGTAAGCGATTATCTCTTCGTTTGACAAGGGTCTAAGAGCATGGAGTGGACTCTGGTGGCCTGATTGGAGCGAAGAACGCTCGCAGCAACGAGTACTTAGTTCTATACTCACGACAGAAGTTGCAACGGAATTGCCGCGCACTTTAAACGGAGTAAGCGCTATAAGACGTATAGAGGCTGGATCTCTGTTTCATGAAATGGTCAATTTTATAATTAATAATATTCAGACTGTGAACGAACTGCCTTTGTTGTTAAACGTGCGGCTATCAATACCTGGACCTCGTAATTCTTCCAATTGAAGCTTCGTCATCTTCGTAATTCCAATTTACAATAAGGCCAAGAGTAACGTGATTGTTATACGGTTGTACCGTGTTGTATTTAAACAATTGTACTTGATGTGTAAAGATTACGCACAAACGATTACAGTGCTTGCCCCGTTACTCCCTCCTCACTAAGATTTGGACCACATTTGGATTCACATCTATATCGAATTATCAAGACAATACCCAAAACTAATTGCTCCACGAGCAACCACTGAGCCTTGAGATCCAATCCGATCGATACACTTCTCCGCGCCTGTTCTTCTGAGTATACTAACAACGGAAGTCTGCTCCCGTGCGCTATACCATAAAGCTCAACAAGCCTTTGCTTACAGAATACATAATTCATTTTTATATTAAGTAAAATTTATTATAAGTAAAATTTTTAATAAATATTGACTAAATTTTTGTAGTATTTTCATAAAAAATATATAATTTTTTGAATATTTATTTTTATATTTATAAATATTTCTTATCACAGTATTAACAACTCTCGCGCTTTAATAAAATTTTGATGAGGATACCAAGGTGTACTTCTCGCGAACGCTTGAGTAACCCTCCGATTCCAGACCAAACATCTCCGTCATCACCCGGCGTGTTTTGGCCTAGCCCTCTCGCTAGAAGGAGGCGCTTAACGCGATCAGTATCCTCACCGCACGAGCCTCATAATCCACGCCCTATGGAATCTTGAAATTTGCTTTACCTCCACCGCTAAGCCTTTGACGATGTCGAACTCGATACTAATAAGGTTTCCTAGCTCAGGGTACTTTTTATTATTATAACCGCGAGAATCATACCGAACCTTGCAATATGTTTCTTGCTCGTATCGACACACCATGATAAGGAATCTAAACTGTCCGAAGACACTAGCCGCAGTGATGCAGATCTCCTATACACCTATGCTCGTGAGCTTTTCGCTTACAGCCAGATTGCCTAGGACCTCCTTTTTGGACTTCAGTAATCTTCATAAATAACGATATTGTGGAATTATGAAAAATCACAATAGCATAAAGTTTCGTGTGATTTTTGTACAGTATCACCTTCTTGTACAAAAAAGGACAACTTCATAGGATCTGGGTACGTAAGATTACGTTCCCTGCCCAGTCACACCTGGTAAAATTTAAACAGCACAGGTGTTCGCACAAGTCTATTTTTTTAATACATTGCAGACAAGTGACCACCCCGAGCAATTACTGCGCCTATATTGTATTCTTACGCTACTCGCTGTACTTTACCGTGCATACTACCCATACTGGGAGTCGTCTCCCGTGCACCAGGTCAAATGGCTCAACTAGTTTCACCAAAGATGCGGTCTTTGCAATCGATGGACTTTAAAATTTTTTGGTGAAAACACCGCGGTGTTCTGCAACTCTATAATCTCAGTGACTGCGCAAACACTTTCGTCTTCATTTGGAGGTAAGCGGTCTAGCCGTTTCCTGAGGTGGAGGCGCTCACTGCAGTCGGCCTCTCTGTCGGAAGAGCGTGACAGTGGCTTTAACCGTCCGATATCGCTTATCAGGCAAGTACGGAAATCCTATTTTCCTATGCGTGCGAGACATTCGCTCTTACTCAGAGTGCAATGAGCACAAGAAATGCTTCGTGAGCAGTTTTTAAACCTACTGGTCATCACATCAAAAGTACTATCTCAGCATGGGTAGCAGCAGCTGGGATAGCCCATCATCTCCATAAGGTATGTACTTATCTTGTGTACTTGAATCCTGTGAACATACCGCTGAGTATCACACTCAGCTCGCACACTGGGTGAAGAAAACGCGCCGTCTCACCCAAAGTACGGCCATACACTGCAGTTTCAGCGAAGCGGACCTCCGGCTAGACAGCGCTCTCCCATGCTTGATTTCAGAACGCGACGCCTACTTTGGGGCTAAAACCCATCGCTTCAAGTTTCTGCTGTTAATAGTCCCGTCCAACATCATATGACAACTGTAACAGCTGCTGACAAAAGAGAATCTTTTTAGCAAGGTCGTTTGCCTCTCACTATCGGAAATAGTGTCGCGACCAGCGATCTCCCCTCTTTTCCAGGGGAGATAAAATCAGAGGAGGTGTCAGGTTGTCAGTGGCCACGGCACCGAGCCAAACTTTGGTGAACTTCGAGCTCACTCGAGGCTTTAGACTGAGAGAGATCCGCTTGTGTCACCATGTTTTTATGATAGTCGTGGTGTATCCATCGGCCTACGAAATGCTCCACGAGAAAGTATTTCATTGAGCGTTGCCGGCGGTGGTTAAACCTCTTATCGCAAAGCCTCTCGGTTATGGCTGCACGCCGTCTCTCTTCAAGAGTGACGGCGTGCGTCCTAAGCTGAGACGAGCTTGATCTCGCATTTTTCCTTAAGGTAATCTTAACGAATGCCCAGGTTAGAAAAGCGTCGCTTCGTTTAAGAAGAGGGTAGCTTACCTACAGGGAATGATAGTGATGCTGCTTTTTCTGCAACAAAGCTCCCTACGTCCGGCTGGATCGTGTGAGCGAGGTCGCAGATTAGTCTCTGTGAGCCCATATGGAAAATTGGGATAATTTGTATTCGATTTGGGCTGTAAAAATACAATTCAATCATTTTCTTCACAACCGTTAATGTCCGTTGTAGCGCAGTAGCGACCTAGTCTTACCGACTGCAAACACTACATGTATAGGTAGGCAAATTGTGCTAATTTAGACCTGCTGTCCCACAAAATATTTGCACAGGTTCTGCCTGCCTCTAAAGTTAGTGTGCAGCTTTTAGACATCCTAACTTCAACAGTAGTGTCATGCACACTAACCATTGAGGCTCGGTCTTACCAGAATCACTGATCTTGCTCAGAAGTGTAGACGGTTTGACTTCACCAAGGAGCTTACGACGTGAAGCTTTTCTCTAATTAAACAAGAGTTACATTGTGGTGGTCTCTAGAGGGACTTCCAAACCAATTATGTAAACTTGGATAAATCTTGTAGATGCACGTACTGCGTTATCCAGCAGAAATTTAATGAGTCAAGTTGCCCGCTCGGTTGCAATGAAATACCACGCATCTGCGTGTTCTGTGTACTCAGCCAGAACGCAATCTGCGATTACGGGAAGCTGCATTGCAGCTACGAGATCACGCTCGATTTTCTCAACATGGATGAGGCTCACCACGTCTGGTGCGCTCATGGAACTTCATTTCTAGTATCCTCTTCACACTCGCAGCTTGGATTTTCTATATCAAATTTAGATCGACACCTAGCGCTTCCACAGAGGTATGTGCGAGTTCACTCGATTGGAGTTCCGTAACAAAGTAACATTACCACCCTAAAAAAAGGATCAAACACCATTGTGGCCATAAGATTACTTTCTCCGGATCAAAGTCCGCCCGTTCTTGCCATCCATGATGAGCAAAAACGTTTAGCGCACTTAATACTCCTGGTTAAGCATTTGCAAAAACTCGCGATATCTGTTGCTTCAAATCTCTGTCATAAATGCCTATCTCACCTAGGAGCTGCACGTAAGCACCCATTACTTCGCAGCTTTGAGACTGGAAGCGTGACTCACTGTAACTCTGCTTAAAGCAGATTTAAATCTACGCGTATCTAAATTTTTTGCATCTAGTAAGTCCGTCCAACCCACAAATGCCTATACTCTAATCATCAGCAGTCTCACAGTGTGTGGCATCTGCTTCTTTACTGAGTCAAGTGGGAACGCTTTTGGATGTGCATCACCAGCACATTCTTGTTCATGGTAAGTGCCTCTAGGCAAAAGTTGATAACATCCAATCCTTCGGCCGCCATTGTCTTCTCCCATGGGGTATCAGAATAGACTTAAGCTTGTTAGCTGGTCGTGTCCCGCAGACTCTTTTATGTTTATTACTAAAAGAGAATACGGGTTTTCACCTTAAATATCGTGGGACGGATAGGAAGAGATACAAAGGTTAATCGGGTTGGCGTGCACATTGCACAGATTTTTCTACTTAAAGAGTTCGCGTCAACAAAGAAAGCGAAATCAAGAGCCTCTGATGTATTAAGCGCTATTAGTTCGCTCTTTTTATTACTTAAATTTATTAGGATATGAGAAGGGCAGAGGTAGAAGTGATGTGTGCTTGTGTGTGCAAATGCAGA